GAGCTGGCTTGTAGACGCTGGGAGGAACCGCTCCCAGCGAGCTGGCCTGTAGACGCTCGCTGGGAGGGGTTCCTCCCGACGGTCTGGCCTCTGCCCCTTTAGGCCGAGGGGGCCGGGTTTTTTTTTTCTTTTTCTTTCTTTTTTTTTTTTAAAAAAAAACAATGTCTTGGAAGAGCCGGCTGCCTCGCCGCCCATTCAGAGGGCGGGTATCCGCGGGTATCTGCCGGCGGATGCGGATGTGGGTTTCCGCTGAAAACATGAGCGGATATCCGGATTTAATGCAACCATCTCTAAACTTCATGTATGACCAATCTTCATTCTGAAATATTGAATTTGGGTTTGCATGGGACTAGAAAACTCACTAGACCCCCTGATCTACCATGGGACAAACCCACAATTGGGTTATTGAGTTGATGGGACTCAATCTGCCTAAAATAAGATGGTTTGAACATCTAAGAAATCCTAGTTTCCCACTGCCCTACATTCTGTTGCACATTCTGATCCAGTGTTTGAACAAATCAATTCAGGATTTGCCCTATCCCAGTCTCCTAATTAGACTCTAGATTTGCTGATCAATGTGGTGAGCTCCCATGTTATGGGCCAAATGCAGAGAGGTGTCAAGAAAGAATTTTTGTTTGTTTCTTATAAGCCACCAGCCTGGCATAAGAATTGGGCCCCTAGCCCACACAGAATTAGGTGGCCCAAAAGAGAAGTGTAGTGAGCCCCTATTATGTCTTCTGACAAAGTTGAATAAATCTTCCCTGGTAGGAAGTTTGCTGTTGTGAAGAACTGGCTGGTGGTTAAGCCAACCCTCCTGCAGAGAGAGACTTGGGGCTTATGTTGAGGTGCTCACCTGAAAAAATATTCAGAAAATCTAGTACAAGTTCCAGAGACTGTAGCTCTCTGGTATTGCAAGCTAAATGTATAGTTCTACATAAGGAAATATGTTCCTGCATACTGGCTTTCCCTCACTTGACTCAGTTTCCAAAGATATGTCTTGCATTAGAAGAGAAAAAAAATTACCTTGCTTGATCCCATGGGCTCAACTTCAAGTGCAGCCTGAGATGATTCTAGTCTTGGATTGTCTTGACAGGATTCAAAAATTTGCTAAAGAACCTAGTGAGAATCTCAATGTGAATGAGGTGATGGGCTCAAAATATCAAGATGTCATTAATTTTTTTTAAGTTTTGGTAGCTGGTACTGACAGCATAAAAAATCACAGGCTGAAAATTTCAATGAGTGAACTTCCAAACTTCTTTGGTGGGTTGGATCAGGCAAGCACCCCAACATGATTGTAAGTCCCTCCTTTCAGAAGCTCAAATACCACCTAAAACCAACCTCCCACACAGGGAAGAAATTTATGAAGTTATTCTTCTGATTCTGTAGGGCTGGCACCCACAGAAGTGGTGGTTATTGAATTTCCTATACAATATCTGACATAATTTTCCTGTCATTACTATTTTTATCATTATCATTGACACTAAAATGAATATCTGGTATCACTGGTACTGCCATGGGCCTCTTTTGTTGAGGCCATAGCTAGTCAATTAATGTGATATCAAGCAATAAACAGCCAAATTTACCCTACATTGGATTTTTTTTCCTTTTTATCTCACTCCAAATGTTTCACTCTGTGCTCAGATAGTGTAACAGCCTTCAAAAGAAGGTCTCATTGTGTGGCAATATTGAATTGCCCCACTGTTACCAGTACAAATGACAAAAATGGCTAAAAAAATGTTACAATATTGTTAGTTTACACTGAAGCAAGTAAACTAGAGTCAACGGTGCAACAGATACAAGACATGTATTTGTATTTGATCTTATCATCTTTATTTTGAGCCTGATACTGGTATCTTTATTTTCTTGGTTGGTGAAAAAAAATTATTGTCTTGGATTCGGATTTACAAATGAAAAAAAATTATCTTTTTTTTTTTTTTCTTTTTTCTTCAATACGGCCAAATATGTTGTGTATCAAATACGGTTTTGGTGGGATCAGTCATCTGAGATGATGCAGAATACTTGTCTCACTTTTCAAAGACGACACATGTGTATTGTCTCAGGAAAGTGAGACAACACAAATCCGGTATTTTTGGGTATTCAAATTTTGAGACAATACGAATAAACGCCTGATACCGTCTTGTATCGTCTCTGTTGCATCCTTGCTAGAGTCTTAGAGACAGATTCAGGTACGCGTTGGCGGGTACCTGCTACCTGTTGGTGGGTACCTGCCAGTGTATGACAGTTACCTGTTGGTGGGTGCCCGGTACAGTACTACAGGTGCAGGTGTTCAAAATCAGTGGAATTTCAAGCAGGTACCTGGCCATAAATTGGGGCTCAAACAGCCTTTTTGTGGCTATTTGTAACTCTATGTGGGTACCTGCACCCTTCCAGAAGGTGCCGGGTGCAGGTGTGGTGTCCAAATTTGGAATTTTAGGCAGGTGCCCACACCCCCCGCCATGGGTACGTGGGTGCAGAGTGCCATCTCTAAACCAACCACCGTTTCTAGCAGACACTTAGCACCACTACATTGATTTCCCTTTTCCTAACAGTAAAACCTTTTCCTTATCTGGGACTGTTGGTGATAGCATAACTCTTCTATTAATTACTGGAAAATCCAGTATAATCAGTATTAAAGATGACGATCAGTACCCGGGTACCTCTAGCGGTACCCTGTTACCACCTTTGTTTTTCTCAGAAATGGACACCAGGTACCTCAACTGGCACCCCCTGCAGGGTACCAGCGGTACTTTGGGCAGGTACCAGTGGTACCTGTGGCCGCGGTGCAAATGGCACTCTTGTTGAGCTAATCTTCTAATACTATCACCTTTCTTTTACCTTTCCCATCTGATTTACCCTTCTTAGCAGGCTGAATACCATCTTTCCACTTGGCCAACACCCCTTCCTTTATCATCCCATTTTTTGAGTAGAAGGCAGCAGCCATCCCCCTCATTGGTGACTGCGCAGTAAGGAGGGTACCTCTAGCGGTACCCTGGTACCGCCTTTGTTTTTGCTCAGAAATGGACACCAGGTACCTCACCTGGCACCCCCTGGAGGGTGCCAGGAGGGTCCGGGTGGTACCAGGCAAACAGGTGCCGGGTACCTCCAAACGGGTACCGATTGTCATCTTTAATCAGTATTGTTACACTGCAC